GCTGTGCTGTGATGGAGCTCCATCCATATGTGCATTGCTTGTACAGCTCCCTTGTGTGCTCTGTAGAGGTTCCGGAATGTGACGACACTCTGATCCAGGTATCTCTACAGGACACATGAGGGAGCAGTAAACGCATGCATGGATGGAGCTCCCTTGGGGCCATAGTCCTATCCCACCCCACCTCAAGCTGACACTCGGCACCGAGCAGCATATTTTGACTGGCTGCTTGGTGAGAGAATGATAGTGTTGCGCTGGGGGGAGGCTGAGGAGCCTCTCTCCTAGAAAAGTGGAAGGCATGTGGTGACCCACTGAACACGGGGTCGTGACCTACTTCTGGGTCATGACCTACCAGTTGAGAACCAATACATGTTGGAGCACCTTCTTAAATTGACAGGATTAACCTGTGTACCACATAGCCAGTCTGTGGGAGCCAGAATTATTGTTGGTTGGTCCGGGGTCAAATACTTATTTTACTCAGTGAACTGCAACTCAATTTACAACATTTGTATCATGTGTTTTTTGTGGATTGTTGGTTGATATTCTGTCTCTATCATTTAAAATACACCTATGATAAAATGATAGACCTTTCATTTCTTTGTAAGTTGGCAAACTTACAAAATCTGCAGGGGATCAAATAATTTTCCTCACTGTATGGAAGTGTTGAATCTTGCAGATTAGAACAGCCCGTGATTTCAGAAGTCCTTTCTTATGCTTTAGGATGTCTGAAGGATATGTATAAGCACAGTGTAAGGGCGTCTTCTGGTGCCAGATCTGGGATTCTCGCTGGTCTTGTGTTACATTGGGGGCGGGAGTCTAATGAACAAGCTGACCTTCCATTTTTAAGCAAGGTCTGCTTTAATGCGACAATAAAACTGGACTGTTGTGACACAGTAGAAACTAAGCCTGCTGTGAAGTAATAGGCCCAATAACGTGCTAGATTGTACTTGTGTTGTGACTGCTTATTACACAGGAGCCTAAAGAAGTACCTACAAAAACCGGACCACTTTCTGATGATCGGTATTTGCATACCTCCCACATGGTAATAAGCAGGCCTGCTGATAGGTTGATTAGGCCCTAAGCGTTGCATTAGTGCTTGGGGGGTGGTTCCAGTGGCACCCCGAGTAGGAGAACAGTCCTAGCTGTGATGTAGGACCTGATGTGGTGTCTTGTTGTTCAACAGCCTATTCGGTTTAGGTTTTTTGAGTTTAGGATGAAATCACATTTACTTCTATAGCAAAAAGTCTGGTATATATAATACATTTTATGTTTTTCAGAAAAAAAAATCTGACCTTGGTTTTTTGTTTTTCCTTTGTTGTTGAAATGGATAAAGCATTAGAAACCTGAAGTAATATGCGTGGCATGCTTTGCAACGTAGACAGGATCCTTTCAGACTCCAGTTGAAGCATGGTTAATGCTGATACCGGCAAATAAAACTGCTGCTACAATCCCTGGGATATATTAATGAAGGGAAAGACCTCTTTTATGGCAGATCAGAGGGAAAAGTAAAAATGCTTATAATGGCAATAACACTTCATTTTTCTTTCCCCAGTGCTCTATTCATAGGAGCTGGTGTGCCATATTCTCAGCTGTGTTTTATTGGGGAAAACCTTATACTGTATATGTCACTTTTTATACCATTGCCATATACTTCTTATAGATTGTAAGTTCCTTGCAATCTAGCCATTGCTGGCTTCATCCTGAAAATTGTAGTTGCCTGGCAGCGTCTTCCTTCAATACCTGTGGGCCACAGGCTTAGGGTCCCCACACACCTTACGATTATCGTACGATAATCGCGGGAAATCCAGCGATCGTACGATGATCGTAAGTTGTGTGGAAGTCGTGCGACCTCTACTACTGTAAGGTCGCACGACTTTAAACTTACGGACATGTTCGAAAACCCGCCGAGCATCGTACGATGTTCGGCGGGTTTGTGGCATGTCCGTGTGATAACAGCCGTACGGGCCAGTGTGCGCAAGCGCACACTGCCCGTTCGGCATTGCGGTCATCGGAAGCCCGCCCCTCAGGGGGCGTGGCTTGCGATCATCGCAAGTAAGATCTGCCTATGCAACATAGGCAGATCGTACGTTTTTTTAAGTACCTTACAACCATCGCAAGACAAAAGTCTTGCGATGGTTGTAAGGTGTGTGCCCAGCCTTAGGAACAAGTACATTTTTTTGCAGTGCGGTGCATATTGTTGAATAAAATATATATCAAAGCGCTAAAGGTGTAATTAATATGAGACTTAGTATAACCAAGTGATATAGTGAAATTTTAGGTTTAGGCGGTCTAGCTCTAAAACAAGTGATATGTCTTACATAGAATCATAAAAAAATATATAAAATAAAAATAAAATTAATAGTACAATAGTGCTGTGGAAAAACAAAAAATGATTGGGACAATAAAAAATTTCAACCACTGTGTAAAGTGTTTGGTTTTTCTCCCTTGTAGCGCTGGCTGTATCCCAGAAGTAAAGCTGGATCGTCTCAGGCGCAGTGTCAAACGAAACTCCTTGCCGTGGTCCCGCAATATTTCAAAGATAAAAAAAGGAGAGAGCCCTCATAGTGTAGCGTGCAAAAACATTTAGCTTTATTACAAGTAGTAACTTACACAGGCAAAAAAATCCGGCCGGCACAAGCAGCTCAGGAACAAACTTTAAAACCCTCGTGTGCAAATCTAGCGTCTGCCCTCTTTAATTGTATTGTTGAATGAAGTGTCATTTTGTGACACTTCAGTAATGTTAAAAAAAAGTAAACAGTGCAGTGCGTTGTAACAACACATTGCGCCACTCCTACAGAACGTATACCAGCGTGCAGGTGTTTTAGGCTAGGTTAAGACCTGAGCAACACCTAGGACGTGCGTTCCGGGACCACGCAAATGTGTGCTTGTGCACACAGCGGTTGCCGCACGGACCCATTGATTTCAATGGGGTTACATCCGCGCGGTAATCACTAAAAGAAAAAAAGAGGTACAAGTACCTTTTTTTGCGACACACGACACCCAGCTTTTTTAGCATGTGCAATTGCATGGGCGGAATCGCGGCAGGAAATTGCGCGATCCGCCTGGCGCGACTGTGGTGCCATTAGAAAATAATGGCACCTCCAGCGCGATCGGCTATGATGGGCGACTCCCTGGCAATCCGCGCAATTTTGTGCATGATTGCCGTGCGGTCAGGAGTCGCCCAGGTGTGAACCTAGCCTGGGAGTGGAGGCTGATGTGAACGAGTGTCTATCTCCTTGGAATGGGAGTATTGAGAGATTGCATTTTCTGCATCTTACTTTACACATCTCTGCACATTTGTTCAAGGCCCACCGCTCCTATCTTTTCTACATATTTTTTTTTTTTTTTTTTTTAAATCACTTATTTCCTTTCTGGGTTTTCTTGAATATTTGTTCTTGTATGAAATAAGGACACAGTTCCATTGTGTAAGTTGGCAAAGTCAGTGTTTTGTAGAAAAGCGAAGTATATGTATTTAATTTTCAGTTTTATTTCAAGGGAAGGATATAATATTTGCCACTAGTACTATGTAAATGTGTTACTGAGCTTGTCCTATTGTCTGGCAGAATAATGTATTCCTTTTTGCATTCCTACACATGAAGGTTATTATCATTAAATGCAGTTACATATTACATCCATTGTGTGTGCAAATAGGATAACATTATGTATCAATGCTGGAAGTGTGACTGCATGCCATAATTGCTGAACTTTTGTTCAGTTGTTTTCATGTAAAGAAGGCTTTCTTATTATATAGATGCACTATAAGAACATTCTCAATGTGAAATCGCACCTAAAGCTGCGCTGCCCTCTATTTGTCTTTGTCATTCTGCTCCTTGGGGCTGATGACTAATAATGGCAGAAACAAAGCAGATTGCATGAGGGACTTTATATGTACACTATTGGGGAAAATAGTTTGGGGTCTTCATTCTCAGCCTCCAGTTCATGTAAATGGCCACACGTTTTTATTTTCTTTTGGTGGTATTTAATCACTACTGGGTTTTTTGTTTTTTGTTTTTTACTTTACAAAGAATAGTCCCGAAAATTTTGGAGAAAAAAAAAAGGTTTTTGATGTTATGAAACATTTTATTACCCATTTTTTTGGTAAAATATAAAAGACCCTGTCATTTGGCCTTAGTGTCAAAGAGCAAACTCCTCCAGCTGCCTGCTTGCAGTTTTGAATCACCTGCCGAGCATTCCATACATTTTAGTATGGAAGTATTACGCTTGGCTTCTGCAGTCATCCAAGCCTTCATGTACCTGCTTCATTCTTGCATGTTTGAAGAGTTCTTTTTTTTTTTTTTTTTTTTGTGGCAATAGCTTGGTACAGTGCACTGAATTCAGTATCCACAGGAGCAAACGTGTGGTTATTGCTCTTTTTTCATTTTCTGCAGGATTTGCAAGTCAAAGGCAGCAAGAATCAGACCTAATACACACTGGAAGGGTTTCCATTTCCAGCTGGTGGACATCCAGCATCAGAGATATGTTTCCTCCCCAGCCTTAGTGTCCCTGGCCAGCCCACATCACATGTGAGCATTACCTAGGGCAGTCTGCAATGCAAGAGAGCCAGCTCACTGCTTGTATCAGGGCTGAGGACTCTTGAAAGGAGTACTGAGGCAGGGTGCAGTGATGTTTTCAGGAAGCTCCGTGCAGCACACTGCTGGCCTCCCCCACCATCTGCCTGCAGGATCTAAAAACAAATACAATTAAAATGGAAAAGTATTATTTAAAAATGAATTGGTATGTTGAGGGTGAAAATCCGGATGCCGGGATGGCAAAATAAAACAGATTAAACTTCGGTCCCATTGGCAACAATAGATCTATTAAAATGATAAAATAAGCAATTGTTTGCTGTTGGAAATGTTACATATTTATAGTTACACATAGATTTTGGTATGCAAGAATGCTAAATAGATACATGCTGATTACTTTCTTTCAATGCCATTTGTTTTATAATTTCTAATTGTAATGCACCACTGTAATGTTTCTTTTATTGTATCTTTTTCTAGAATGGACAGCAGTTTGTGGAAGAATCCATGTGTGAAGACGATAGTGAGACAAACGTGAGTTTCTGGTTCAACTTAAAAAAATCGTATGATAGTTCAATTTGGTCTGGTTTTTTTTTTTTTTTCATGTCTGCTAACGCATGTGTGTTGTGAACCGTGCACATAGAGAAAATTGTTTGGCAGGTCATCGTACTGGGTGTGTATGAACCCTTAAAAAACAATAATTGGTCAACTAATCGATTATGAAAATAATTTAGTTGCAGCCCTACAGTACAGTTGCAATACAATTTCAGTGTAGGATGATTAGGATGGCCCTGCACAAGCTTTTAGGCAAGAGCTTGCAATCTAGTTGGAGGGTCATGTGATACAAGAGGTAATAATTGTATGGGATGAGTTAATAGAAGAAGTAAAAGGACAGTTATTATGTTGAGGTGGGATAGGAAGTTATCGACTCACAACATTTCTGGCACAATTAACAGGTATTTTTTGCACATTTTAAACCGATATAACAAAACACTTTTTTGTCCTTTTTTTCCCCTACTAAACATACAACTCAAAGTTTATTGTTCGGGTTTACATACACTGATTGTGGAATTTATGCATTCAGCTGGTAAATAAGAAATTACAGTTAAGGTTAGACCCTCCAAAGCCTTCAGCTTATTTTCTCCTTCACTAAGATTTGGCCTCTTATGAAAGTGCCTTGGCATTTTACAATGAGATAGCTGTTTCTTAATACTGCAGTGTAGATATTTTTGTGGCGTGTGTAAAGAACTCTTTTTGTCAAGAATAGCTGAATGTAGCGAAGGATCGATTTTATACAACCATGGATGACCTTGATTTTAATTTTAAATGTTGGGTGGTGCTTCTGTTACAGTCATAGAAATCATCAAAACAAGAGAAACCACAATCTACTTCCTTCCTCTAATCTTGGGACGCAGTAAGCTTGAGAATTTTCTGGCTCGTAGTTCAGTGCCCTCTTGGTTTCCGTTGTTCAGACATTATTATATAGGATTTTTATATCACTAAAAGTTTTTGTCCAGCGCTTTACAAAATAAAGGGAGACGGTAGAGTTATAATACAATGCAAGACAAGAGGGCTAGGAGAGCCCTACACTTGACAGGTTACAATCTAAAAGGGAAGTAATATTGCCTGATTTAGCTAACTGTCTCCTGCTAGTGAGAGCAGTGTCTGTGGGCTGTGAAGCTTAGGTGCCAGTCTGCTTGAGTGCAGATGATAATGATTTAACATGTCCGGGTCAAGTTCTTCATAAGCCTGGAATTTTGTTGGTGGTGGCAACTTAGATATTGGTGTGCATGTGGTGTTGTATTCTTTACCCTTCACGCATGTCTGGGGATTGGGGACCTTTTGGCTTTTTGCAACAATCTGCCAACTTACTGGTCAATTTCCCAGGACAGGCAACAAACTGCAATACATTGCGCATCGTCCGGCCTCCCTCACCCCTGTACTCTTGGTACCCTGTCCATGATATGGTGTAGAACACTTTTATTGTTAAAAGAATACATGTAGTTCATGTTTTTCTGAACTGTGCATCTGATTAAACGTACTGGCTTTTTAGGAATGGCAAAGCACAATAACCCATTACAGGTAGATGAGTAGGGTGAGGTCAGTATCCATCATCTACTCTGTTTGGGTTTGCCAGATTTGTGATGAGTTTACTTTGTTTAAAGAAAATCGGTAATGGAAAGGTGCAAGAATCTTAATATTCAGGAGCTCATTTGAAAAGCTACCATATGGTCACACACAGCCCAAAGGGTACTGTAATAAACAAATAACATAGTTATAAAGACCAGTGAATTTATTTGGGTGGAGAGCTCAATCATGTGACCTGATAGTCATTTGGCCAGCTCTACTCCATGCACAGAGGTCTCTCTACTCTGTTAAAACATGGAGAACTCCACGAGGCTCCATCAGCGACACATTCCACCCCCCTGGTCAAAAGTAAAGGCATTGGAAACCAATCCTGGACTAGATGTTCTTACAAAAGTTAGTCGAACTATGATTGCACTGTTTTGGACGTTGAGAAACGCTCGGAATGCAAATCAGCATTTGAAATATTGCATAAAACTATTAGTTCATGTTTTACATCTGTTCATTTATACTGCTTGTAAAATCTATATGTAAAATTTTTAAAAGGTTGGCTCCACTTGAAACATGACAGCCAGGTAAACTACTATTTCCCCAGTAGACATGTATAATATGAGAGCTCTTTTCCCTGACAAATGATTTGTAGTTCTGTTAATCTGTTCCTTTTAATTTACACAGCTCTGGGGATGTCCTGGTTTGTGACACAGGTTCTAACCCTTCTACTGAACAAAATTGGCTCTATTTGCTTCGGAATTATATATTTTCAGGCCTTTTGTTTTGTATGGTTGTAAATTTTCATGTTGTCTTTTATAAGACAGTTCTATAGAATCCCTCCACCTTCTGGCCAAATCCCTCTGCTGCTTCTTTTAATAAATGATGCCTAGCAGGCTATTTTGCTATAAGCACCTGTAATGCTCAAAGCCAGGAAGCTAGCCTTCACATACAGCAAGGAATGTCCTGGGGATGATTCCAGTGCCAGGAATTTTGCCAGAATTTTCTGTAATCTTTGAGATTTGGAATTCTAAACAGAAAAGGCACGCAAAGTCGTTCACACAAACATGTCTAACATCCCATGTCTGGAAACTGCTTAATGTCTACCTTTCCTTAAAAGTGCCAGACTTTGCTGTTATTTAATATTGAGCAGTTTGGTTGTTGTCTCATGACATGGACAAATTCTGATGATTGCTTGGTCTATGTATTGCAATGGGTCTTATATGACTCTCCAGTTTAATTTTGGATCCCTTTGAGGGGAGATGCATTGCCTGCATTCTAAGGAAGAAGTAACGTATTTAGCTTATAATGGTGTAGAGCTGCAGCTAACGATTATTGTCATAATCGATTAGTTAGCCGATTATTAAGTTCGATTAATCGGATTTTTAAAAAAAAGGCTCCAGTGAGGGACTACTAGTTTCTATAGTTTCCCGTGATGTAGTCCATCAAGGGAGCAAGCTTGGTGTGGTGGAAGTAAAAAAAAAAAGAGTGTGGTGTGCAATATAGTACATTATACAGCGGCGCAGTGCAGAATACCAGCAGCTATAGAGGAATGTAGCAATAGTACATTATACTATAATGTACTATTGCTGGGATTTGTAGTCCTCTGTAGCTGGCATTATTCTGCATTGCTTTGTATATAATGTACTATTGCTGGGATTTGTAGTCCTCTGTAACTGCTGGTATTCTGCATTGCGCGGTATATACCGTATTTGCCGGCGTATAAGACCACCCCCTACTTTTTGTGTTAAAATATAGGTTTTGGGCTATACTCGTCGTATAAGACGAGTATAGCCCAAAATAATGTTTAAATGCACCCACTAACATCCATGGCGGTATTCCCAAGTGTGGCTTGGGGTTAATTTTCAGTACCATAAGCGGTAACCCCGAGCCACAATCGGGATTACAGTCTTTTACCTTGTCCACGATCCCCGCTGTGTCCTCCGTCCTCCGCTGAGCCAATCACGGCAGGCTTTACAAATACAAAGCCTGCTGTGATTGGTTCAGTGCGGTATACTGTATGTAGCCGAAGCTGCATACAGTATACCATATCCTTCTGTATGTTCCCGGCGTATAGGACCACCCCCGATTTTTTTTGGGGGATGTTTTAAGGTTTCAAAACCCGTCTTATACGCCGGCAAATACGGTATTGTATTATTGCTGGGATTTGTAGTCCTCTATAGCTGGTGGTTTTCTCCATTGCGCTGTATAATGATTATACTGCGCAATGCAGATTACCACTGACCAGTTATAGAGGAATACAACAAATGCCAGCAATAATACATTATACAGCAGCACAGTGCAGAATACCACCAGATATAGAGTAACAACAAATCCCAGCAATAATACATTATACCGGGTGTTTAATATATTATTGCTGGGATTTGGTGTTCCTCTATAGCTGCTGCTGATCTGCAGTGTGTCGCTGTATTATACAATGCAGAACATCATGCACAATGCAATGCAGAAAACCAATGTATTATACACCGGCACACTGCAGAACATTAGCAGCTATAGAGGAACAACAAATCCCAGCAATAATATATTATACAGTGTGTTTAATGTATTATTGCTGGGATTTGGTGTTCCTCTATAGCTGCTAATGTCCTGCAGTGTGCCGCTTTAAAAAAACAAAAAAACAGGAAACATTAAAAAGCTCCCGGCCGATCTCGACTTACCTTGAATGACGGTGTTGTCAGTGGGCAGCGGCGTTGTTGGTTGTCGGCGGGCAGCGGCGAGTCGGGAAGCTCACCGGGAGGAGAGGGCCAGACGCATGTCCTCAGCGGCGTTGTGTGTTTACCAGCGTAGGCGTTGACAATGTTTTCCATCGTCGATTTTAATCGGCTTAATCGAATAATTGTTGCAGCTCTATAATGGTGGTATTCCTGTTGGCATACTATGCACAGCTTTAGCTTACAGTCAGCTAAAGCTGGTAACAAGGCCTCATACTGTTAGTTTCAGCATTACTGTATTAGAGTCTCACTGCATGTTAAGTAAATTTTTAATCATCCTTATGCCAACCAGTTATAAAGTTTAAAGCAGTGTTCTTGCTTCAGTGTTCTAGGCCACAATAGGAAGTGAGAGGAAATCCCTCCACAGGGATATCCCTGGAGGTCAGCAGGGTCACCAGAACTAGTGTCCACATTGGACGATTCCTTCTCTCTTCCTTTCTGTTGCCCACGCAGAATTTGGGATTTTCTTTCACTTTCAATGATAACGGTCACCAGGACAGATAGGGTGAATCTCCCCAACAGGGACACAGAAATCAATAATATAAAACTTGCCATGCACAGAATTTCCCTTATCTACCCTTTTTAACCGCTTGCCGTCCGCACGTTGTGAAAAAACAGACGAACGGCAAACTCACATTGGCGGGTTGCCTTAAATAGACGGCTTTTTTTTTCCTGCTTGCGCGTGCCCCCGGGCAGGAAAAAAAATGTCCATTGTAAACAGCCATTACC